TCTTTACACGGTAAAGGAATGAAGGAGGAGGCGCAGGAGGAGGAAGAAGGAGAGGGAGAAGAAGGGCGAGGAGGAGAAGGAGGAGGCGCTGGAGAAGGGGGAGAGGGAGAATGATGGGGTGGAGAAAAGGAGGAGGAGGAGGAGGAGGAGGAGGAGGAGGAGGAGGAGGAGGGAGGAGGAGGAGGGAGGAGGAGGGAGGAGGAGGAGGAGGGAGGAGGAGAGGAGGAGGAGGAGAGGAGGAGGAGGAGGAGGGGAGGAGGAGGAGGAGGAGGAGGAGGAGGAGGGAGGAGGGAGGAGGGAGGAGGAGGAGGAGGGAGGGAGGAGGAGGAGGAGGAGGAGGAGGAGGAGGAGGAGGAGGAGGAGGAGGAGGAGGAGGAGGAGGAGGAGGAGGAGGAGGAGGAGGGAGGAGGAGGGAGGAGGAGGAGGAGGGAGGAGGAGGGAGGAGGGAGGAGGGAGGAGGGAGGAGGAGGGAGGAGGAGGGGAGGAGGAGGAGGGAGGAGGAGGAGGAGGAGGAGAGGAGGGGAGGAGGGAGGAGGGAGGAGTGAGGAGGAGAAGGAGGAGGAGGAGGAGGAGGGCGAGGAGGAAGTCCCCCGCCCCTCCCTTCACCACGTTGCAGAGCCGTTCGCCAGAGGGCGGTGTGTGCCACCGAGGGCGCAGGCCGCCGCTCTCGACGTGGCGGGTCCCCGTCCGCGAGCCCGCCGCTGTTGTCGCGCTCCTTGTCCTCTTCCGCAGCCTCCTCCGCTGCCTCCTCCTCGTCCTCCTCCTCCTCTTCCTCATTGGAGCTCTCCTTCTCCTCGTTCTCTTCTTATTCTTCTTATTCGTCTTACTCCTCCTCCCTGACAGCGACGTGCGCTCCTCCTCCTCCTCCTCCTCCTCCTCCTCCTCGGTGGCCTCCTGCTCCTCGGTGGCATTTTCTTTCGCCGCCTCGTCCGTGGCATCATCTTCCTTGAACTTTTCCTTGGCTTCATGCTGATTCTCCTCCACCTCCTCCTCCTTCTCCTCCTCATCCTCGTCCTTCTCGGCCATCCTTACCATCCCCACGTCGTCATTGTCGTCGTCGTCGTCCTCCTTCTCCTCCTCCTCCTCCTCCTCCTCCTCCTCCTCCCTCTCGCCACCCCCAGGCCCCCTCGAGTCATGAAGAGCATCAGAACGGAAGGTGGTTGGACATCTTTGGCTTCTGGGGGCCACTATCAGGCCCCAGAACCGTAAAACGACGGCTCGGGGGACGTGTCGAGATCGGTCCACATTGTGAAAGCAATCACGACGTCGGAGGTCCAGGTTCTCCCCTCTCCATGGCCCTGCTCCCGCAGACTAGCGACAGCAGGCGCCCCCCTGGAAATTACTGATTCCCTGACGTCCCGGGCCCCAGGGCTCCCATTGGAGTTCTGGAGGTGGGGACATTTTGCGGGTTCCCAGATCGGCCGAACAGTGTGCCCCCCCCCCCCCTGTATTGCTTTTAGCAAGAAACATTCCAGCATCGATCTGCTCGAGGGTGGATCGAGACGTCGCTGGAAGGGTTATGGGTCCTTGTCTTCCTCGTTGTCCTTCTCATCCTATTGTAGTGGCCTCCGGCCAGTGCCGCCGATCCGGTGTGCTACCGATTCTGCTTGCAAGGGATGACCTTTTATGTTTAAAAGTAAGCACTCGCTCGAAACATCCTCATAAGATAGAGATGTTCAAGTCGCTCGGGCAACCTTCGGATATTCGAAAGTGACGATCTCGCGTGAACAGCCAAACTCATGGGATGTTGTTGACGTAGCTGATGTATGACACCTTTGGGGGGCGCTCCTGGGCTTCTCGGGGGGCTTCTTGGAGGCATCCTGGAAGCTTCTTGGGGGCGCGATGGAGGAAGTTATACAATCTCTTGGGGGCCTTTGGGGGGCCTCCTTGGGGCTTCTTGTGCCGTCTTGGGCCCTTCTTGGGTTGGGCTGTCTTGGAGCCCTCTTCGGGCGTGAATGGCGTCAGCCATGGCGTCCGCCCTCCCCCCCCCCCTCTCCTCTCCCAAGCCTGAACGGCGTCATCCATGGCGTCAGCCCGCCCCCCCCCCCCCCGACAGAGTAAAGCTTGAGCGAGCTCCCCCCCTCCCTCCTCCCGGGCCTGAATGGCGTCAGCCATGGCGTCAGCCCTCCCTCCCCTGCCCCCCGACTCCCCCCTGCCGGGCCTGAATGGCGTCAGCCATGGCGTCCCCCCCTCCCCCCCCCCACACCTCCTACCTCCCAGGCCTGAATGGCGTCAGCCATGACGTCAGCTCCCCCCCCCCGACAGAGCGAAGCTTGAGCGAGCTCCCCGCCCCCTCCCCCCGACTCTCTCCTCCTGGGCTTGAATCTCACCCCCCCCCTCCTCTGAATGGCGTGAGCTATGGCGTCGCCCCCTCCCCCCCCGACAAGCGAAGCTTGAGCGAGCTCCCCCCCTCCCCCCTCCCGGGCCTGAATGGCGTCAGCCATGGCGTCCCCCCCCCGACTCTCTCCTCCGGGCTTGAATCTCCCCCCCCCCCCCCCTCCCCTCCTGGGCCTGAATGGCGTCAGCTATGGCGTCAGCCCCCTCCCCCTGACAGAGCGAAGCTTGAACGAGCTCCTCTCCCCCCCTCCCCCTCCCGGGCTTGAATGGCGTCAGCCCCTCCCCCCCCCGACTCCCCCCTCCCGGGCCTGTATGGAGTCAGCCATGGCGTCACCCCTCCCCCCCCTCCCCCCCTCCTGGGCCTGAATGGTGTCAGCTATGGCGTCAGCCCCCTCCCCCCCGACAGAGCGAAGCTTGAGCGAGCTCCCCCCCCCCTCCCCCCTCCCGGGCCTGAATGGCGTCAGCCATGGCGTCAGCCCCCCCCCCCCTACCCAGCCTGAATGGCGTCAGCCGTGGCGTCAGCCCCCCCCCCCCCCGACAGAGCGAAGCTTGAGCGAGCTCCCCCCCTCCCCCTACCCGAGCCTGAATGGCGTGAGCTCCCCCCCCTCCCCTCTCCCAGGCCTAAATGGCGTCAGCCATGGCGTCCCCCCCCCCCCGACTCTCTCCTCCTGGGCTTGAATCTACCCCCCCCTCCCTCCTCCTGTGCCTGAATGGCGTCAGCCATGGCGTCCCCCCCCCCTTCTCGCTTCCGGGCCTGAATGGCGTCACCCGGGCCTGAATGGCGTCAGCCATGGCGTCAGATCTCCTCCCCTTGCCCTCCTCCCGGGCCTGAATGGCGTCAGCCATGGCGTCCCCCCCTCCCCCCCTCTCCCTCCTGGGCCTGAATGGCGTGAGCTATGGCGTCAGCCCCCCCAACAGAGCGAAGCTTGAGCGAGCTCCCCGCACCCCTCCCCCCCTACCCCGGCCTGAATTGCGTCAGCCATGGCGTCAGCCCCCCCCCCCCCCCCGACAGAGCGAAGCTGAGCGAGCTCAAGCCCACGCTCTCAGAAACTCACACGCCGGATCGGCGATTTCTCCCTTCCTTTTCTCCGGCTCCTTTCGGAGCCCATCGCAAGAGCGATGAGATTGACGTAGGTCGTAGATGACGGATTTCGCCAATTGTCAGGAAATGTGGGGGCCTTGGAGGTTGGCATCATGGTGGGGTGCAGGCAGATGTTCATGATATTGACCATCAACCTCTTCTCCTCTGCTGGCCGGATGACGAAAGCCATGCAAATGGCACACGCCATTGGGATGGGCATCGCGGCGATTCATGTGTTGAAGATCAGGACAGATGCAAGCCGCCTAAGTGAGCACGATCCTAGTTGGCAGCGTCGTTGGCAAGCCATGTTCCTTGCAGCCGACATGCGGGTTACTGGAATATGTCCAATGCTGCAGTGGTAGCCGTTGGTCGCCCGACGTCGCACTTCGAAGCAAACCAATGCGCGAATTCATAAGGCGCATTTGGATTATATTCACGCCGTCGACAAATAAGCGCATCAACTTGTGAGGTAGGGTACGCCGGCATCATCAGATCACGAGCAGGTGTAGACGTTCCTTCGAACCCTCTACGCGCAGCATTGGGCAAGTGTCGTGATAAGCAGATTTTGTCGTGATGCGTTTTCGGAACAGACTGGGGGAGCCAGCAGAACAGTTCGTTCTGGGCTGCAGTGGCGTCAAGGATTTGCAGTGGTTGCAAGGGTATTAAGATTCACTGCTCGGCTGGGCATCACACATGCACTGCCATCGTGGAGGGATCGCCCTCCCCACCACTGCGTACTAAGCCCACGACTGAATCGACGACCATCGACACAACGATTCTCACATGGTGCGAGATTGGACCATGCGAAGGCGTACCCGTGCATCCTGCGAAACGTCTTCCAGTACGACCACATGCGGTGAGCCAGCGCACAGCTCGAATGGCGATCGACATCTAACCGATTTGAGGGAACGCCCAGGCCATGTGTTGGATTCGCGGGGCAGCGAATAAACCACGACGAGAAGCACATGCATGGATCGACACCGACGGTTCAATCGACAGACTGCGACGCTTCGATGGCGCGCCGTCATCAGAGTCATCTTTTGTTCCTCTTGCTCGTCGATCAGGTCTTCCTCACCTTTCCGTCTTCCTCCTCCCCGTCCTTCCCAGACTGAGCTCCGGGCTTCCTGCCCTTTGTTGGCGGCGGGAGGAGAGCGGGGAAGAGGCAAGAGGTGGCAAAGGGCACGTATTGCTCCCGCCCCGGATCCTGTTCCCCACAGGTCCCCGGAGGTCCCCAGAGGTCCCCCATGGGGCCTCTGGAGGCCCAGCAGGGGCAACAAATTTGCGAAAGCATATCCCCCCACGACCCTCGAGGACCGAGGCCACAACTCCTCATGCTGGGGACGAGCGGGAGGAGCATAGTTATCAGCCGGGAAGATGCCCCTTATCCCTATGATTGGCATCGCCTTGTTTCGACGGCGATCTTAAGGATCCCGTCAGTTTCTGAGGGCGCATCCTTCAGACTGTCATCGATTTTGGGCTTCTTCATCTTAGGGATACTGCGAAGCTCGTGGTTGGTCAGATAGTGAAGATCAGGAGCAAGAGCGCGAGCACGGGGAGAGTGACGGAGCACGTGGTGGGCAAGCGGCGGGCACTCCGGCCCAGCCAGGCAGAAGGCGAGCGCGTCGCCGCCGCCGTCGAAGCCGCCGACCTCGCCCACGGCCACGAAAGGGACTTGCCCCCCGACGCTGGGCAGTGCTGCCCAACCGCCTCGTCTCCGCCCCTTCCTGCATCGAATCGCCGATGGGCTCCCAGAGCCAGGGGCAACGTTCGGGGGGGGATGTAGGCTCGGGGGTTATTTTGTCGGTTCCCCGCGGTTTTAGAGCGCTTTTGTAGGATCTCGGCATTTTTCCAGCCTCGGGATGCCTTCTAGCGGCTGTGCCTTGCCGAGACCGTTCTCAGGGTGCCCCGACCGTCCCGAACGCGCCGGAGAGCCGAATTATGACCCGAATGCCAGGGGCAACGTCAGGGGGGGATGCGCTCAGGGGAAGGTACATTGTCCCCCAATCGCCCAATGATCGCCGATAGGGGCTCGATAGCCCGGCCCGCCAGGAGCGTGCGGTCGGTTTCGACATCGAGTGCCTATCGCCGTCTATCGGCGATGTATCGCCGATTCCAGCTCGACGTCTCCCCGCCATGAGCTGGTCCCCCCCCTACCGTTCCTCCTCCGAGAGGGCGTCTTGGGCGTTCGTGTGGATTTCTGCGGGGCCCCGGGAATTGCCAGGCCACAGTGCCAGCGAACCACCCTGACTGTGTTGGGCCTCTGGTGTTCATTTCGCAAGACATCAGTGGAGCCAACGTGTGGCGCCGAAGGGCCCGCTGGGATCCGAACGGGACCTTGGCTCCTGGGGTGATTCTCCGATTCCAATCATGTACGGCACAGGTTCGGAGGAGACCTAGGGTTTCTTGAAGGGGACCTGTTCCTGACAATCACCAGGACGTATATTCTCCAGAGCGGCATTTCAGCTCCCGATGGGCTCCTGAGACACTTACTTTGGCACGCCACAGGAGCGATAGTTTTAGAAAAGCATCAGAACCACCGAGAGATAGCGACACACATGTACTGATGTGAGCAATGTGTTCCTCCCCCCCAGACTGCATATTCCCGTCGAATTTTAACTGCTTATCCTTTTCCCCTTTTCCCACTTGCCCCCCTCCCCCGCCTCATCACCCTACTACCCTGCTCCAACCCATCTCGTCCCTGCCACCCTGCCTCCACTGATCTGCGAAAACTTGCGAGCCCTACAACTCGGGTCTGATCGACGCTGAGATATGGGACACTCCCGCTGGAGTTCGTTTGGCTGCATACATCCTGTAACTTTTGAAGTCCAGCTTGTTTTTCAGAAATCTAGTCCGCAGGGGTAGGATTCACATGTGGTGCCTTCCTTGCTCCTCCACTCCGCCCAGCCCCTCCGATTTCTGGCAATCCTTTCCCCTTCACCTTGTCTGCGCTCTTTTCCATAGTCCCTTACCTCCTGTGTTCATCTCCATCCCCAGACATGCGGCGGCATGTTTTTTCAATTCCCGCCACGGTCCCTGGAAGTCCCGACTATTTCCCCAAGGCCGGTTTTTCATCCTGAATAGTTTTTTACGGTCTCTGGGCCCAGCGAGGGTCCCCAGAGCCTGAATATGGCCCACATTGTCCCGTCGTGTTTTTTTTCACGGCGAGAGTGTGTTTGGGTCCCTACTGTCCCCTCTCCGCACCTCTGTGCCCCCTCGTCTCTTTTGACTCCCCCCCGCGCAGGAAAGCCGGCGGCGCTGCCCAAGGCGACGTGACCACCGGTTTGCCGAAGATGCAGTCGCTCTTCAGAGCCCTGGAGCGCATCCCCTTCTCTAGCTGTCCGCACCACAGCAATCTTCCTCTTTTTCTCACTCGTCATGACCGCCCGAGTCGCCGACCCGCACTGAAGTGCCCGCGCACCAGCGTGGCCTTTTGGTAAACGCCGTCGCTGCCAGAGCAGTTGTGACAAATCAGCTGGCCGCCCCTGTCCCGTGGTTGTCACGAGGCCCGTGGTTGTGCGGCGTTTGTTCCGTGGTTGTCCTGGGGTTGTCCCGTGGTTGTTTTGTGGTTGTCCAGTGGTTGCCCCGTGGTTGTCCATTCAGTGTTCCCCGCAGATGTCCTGTGGATGTTTGGTGATTGTCCTGTGATTGTTCTCTGGGGGTCTCGTGGTTTTCATTGCGGTCGTCCAGTTGGTTGTCCCACGGGCGTCACGTGAGTCTCCTTTGCTTGTCCCGCGGTTGTCCTGTAGTTGTCCCGGGGTTGTCTTGCGGTTGTTCCGTGGTTGCCACGTGGTTGTTCCGTAGTTGTGTTTGGGTTGCCCCGTGGTTGTTCCCTGGTTGTCAAACGGTTGTTCCGTGGTTGTCCCTTCCGCTGCTGTCCCGCGGTTGTCTTTTGATTGTCCCGAGGTCGTTCCCTGGGTATCCCGTGGTTGTCCCGTGGCTGGCCCGTCCATGGGTACATCGGTAGTGGGACGGATAGATCGTTAAAGGAAGCGATCGGTGGATTGAATGTGAGATCGGTAGATGCCTTAGGACCAATCGGTAGCACAACCGACCAATAGGATGTGTAGAATATAATTCGGTTGGTGTCCCGTGGTTGTCTTGGGGGTTGTCCGTGGTTGCTGCGTGGTTGTCCCCAAGGCTGTCTCGTGACAGTCCCGTATACGCCTGTTTATATGTAACATATCCAGTGTTATCGGCAAGTTTCAAGTGACATAATTTCGTGTATGGGTTCATCCTGCGAGCCACGCGTAGAAGGTGGTACCGATAGATCGTGATGCTTGTCGTTATGGCGAAGTTTGTATATAATGGTGTGATGGTCGTATTTGGGAAAACCGTGATACCAACATATGGTGAGATCGACCCGTGAATGAGTTGATCTGGGGGTTGGTATTTCATTAGTGCGAGTGGTAGGTCGCTATATGGGCACACCGTCAGTATTTGCAAGCGTGGACCCCACACAGTGTGTGGCATTGCAGTCTGCATGCGTACTTTATGTGGTGCAGCCTGCGTGGTGCATCGAATGACACGCTAGCTGTACAGTCAGTTCTGTGTGGTGCAATCTACGCCGTGCAACTTATGTGGTGCAAACAACGTTGTGCAATCGATGTGGTGCAATCCACCTGGTTCGCGCAATGGGAAAACAGATATTTGTTGTGTTTGCAGTTCATGCACCGCGCAACATCCACGCGTTACTACTTCCCGTGTTCCCATGTCCATCTTGTCAACGAGCGCACGGGTGCGTGGAACTCACCCGTGCGGACGAGAACGCCCTACACGTCGCGACAAATTGGTGGCGATGTTGACGGGAAGCGACGCCAACGACGATTGTGGTGATGACGTTGGTGCCGATAGTGACGACAGTAGAGACGGGGGTAATACGATGACGACGACGGTGGTGATGATGATGAAGATGGTCGTGATAATGGTAAAAACAGTGGCCACGATGACGTTGGCGATGGCGATGACGATGGTGTTGGTAATGGTGACGGGGAAGTGCCCGCGCGCATAATCTTGACTATGGCGACGGCGATGACAGCGGTGACGATGATTCCGTCGATGGTGATAACGATGATGATGATGATGATGACGACGGTGGCAATGTTGACGTTGATCATGATGGTAACGATTGTTCTGATGAGGATGGTGAAACAGTGTTCGCCGGCAGGAAGACAAACACAGTGTCATGGTATCAGCTGAAGCCCTGTAGATATCCGTCTGAGTGTGAATTCCTCTCTTCTGGAATTCTGAGACACCATTGGTTTTGGGATGCCTTCGGCGCTCGCGCACAGAGATGCGCGCGTATGGCTTGCATTGTATTTTATGACAGCGTTGGGAGGCGCGCGATGGTGGTTGAGTGTGTTCGATATGCGCCCGCAAGTGGCCCGCATGTTCTGATTTGAGGGAACGATTAATCATCAATGGCTGTCGTAAGAGTTCAGCGCGTTATTAATTATGGTACAATGGCTCTTCACAGTTCCTGAACATCCTGTGTTGGTATTTCGTTTTGAAGAGACAGCGCCCCGCGTCCCTCCCACCCCTTTCTTCGCCCCCTCCTAACATCCCTGCCTCTGCCCTGCCCATGTTTAACATGTCGACACACCCCTCACACGCTTCGTCGCCCCATCCGGAGCTCCACCGAAGGCCCCACTGGCTGCGCTCGTATTGCGACACTGCATACATGTCTGTATACCCCTCACACGTGTCGTCGCACTATAAGGAGCTCCACGAAGGCGTCAGCGGCTGCGTCCACATGGCGGCACCGCACCCACTTCCGGACACCTTTCACACGTCCCGTGCTCCCGTAGGTAGCTCCACGAAAAGGCCCCAACCGCTGCGTTCGCATGGCGGCACCGCACCCATGCCCATATACCACTCACACGGTTTGGGGTCCCAGAGGAAGTTCCACGAATGGCCCAAGCGGTTGCGTTCCCATGGCGGCACCGCACCCGTTACGGCTTAGCCTTCACACGTTTCGCAGCCCATAGGGATCTCCACCGAGGGCCCCAGGAGTTGCGTCAGCATCGCGGCACCGCACCCATTCTGGTACACCTCTCACACGTTTCGCGTCCCCATACTGAGCCCCACCGAAGGCCCCAGTGGTTGCGCTCCCATCGACGGCTGGTCTGATATGTTGATCCACAGTCCGATGGTTGCTCCACTTGTTACCCCATGGTTGATCCAACTATTGTTCCGATGGTTGTCCCGGTGTCTGTCTTGATGTTTCGTTTGATGGTTGTCCTGATGGTCGTCCTGGTGGTTGTCTCGGTGGTTGTCCGGACTATTGTCACGATGGCAGTCCCGATTGTTGTCCCGATGGTTGTCGCCATGGGTGTCCCGCTGGCTGTCATGATGCTTGTCCTGATGGGTTTCCCGTGGTTGTCCCGTGTTGGTCCCGTGGTTGGTCGTTCCGTGGTTGTTCCGTGGTTGTCTCGTGGTTTTCTTGTTGTTGTTGGGGGAGGATGGCGGGGAAGATCAGAAGGAGGAGGAGGAGGAGGAGAAGGAGGAGGAGGGGGGGCATCTTGGGAGACTCTGGGGGCACTCTTGGGGGCTTCCTGGGCGTTTCCTGGGAGCCTCCTGGAGGCATCTTGGGGGCCTCCTTCGGCCTCTTGGGGGCTTTGGGGGGCTTCTCGGGGGCCTCTTTGGCCGTCTTAGGGCATTTGTGGCCTGTGCGACGTCGTCGGCAGCCGTCTTGGGGGCCTCTCTGGGCCGACTTGGGGCCCTCTTGGGGTGTTCCAGGACCGCCTTGGAGTCGTTTTGGGCGTCTTGGAGGCCTCTTGGGCCGTCTTGGGGCCCCCTTGGGCCGTCTTGGGGATTTCTTCTGCCTTTTTGGGGCCATCTTGGAGGCCGCTTGGGCGATCTTGGGGCGATTTTGGGGCGATCTTTGGGGGCTCCTGGGCCGTCTCGGGCCGTCGGAAGGCCAAGGAGAAGCAAATGCCCACATCCTTGAAAATCCTACGGGTCATCAATGATTTTGACCTCGTCGGGCCTTCCTGGAGGCCCTTTTGGAGGCCCTCTTGGGCTGTCTTGGAAACCTCTTGGGGGCCTCTTGGGCCGTCTTGGGCCATCGCGGAGCCCTCTTGGGCCGTCTTGGTGGCCTCTTGGCCCGTCTGGCGCCGTCGGGAGCCGATTGGGGGGCTTCCCTGGAGACCATTTTGGGCGTCTTGGAGGCCTCTTGGGCAGTATTGGGAAGGGCCAAACTGGAGGCCTCTTTCGTGATCTTGGGCCGTTCTTCGGGGGCTCGTGGACCGTCTCGGGCAGTCAACAGGCCAAGGAGACGCACATGCCAAAATCCTTTTAAATTCTACGGAGCATCCGTGATTTTGGCCTATTCGGGCCTTTCTGGAGGCCCTTTTGGAGGCCCTCTTGGGCCGTCTTGGAGACCTCTTGGGGGCCTCTTGGGCCGTCCTGGGTCATCTTGGAGCCATTTTGGGCCGTCTTGGTGGCCTCCTGGCCCGTCTGGCTCCGTCGGGGGCCGTTCGGAGGGCTTCTTTGGAGGCAAGTTTGGGTTTCTTAGAGGCCTCTTGGGCCGTCTTGGGGCCCTCTTGGGACCGTCTTGGGGATTTCTTTTGTTTTTTTTCTGGGGCCATCTTGGAAGCTTCTTGGGAGCCTCTTGAGGCGATTTCTGGGGGACTTGGGCCGTCTCGGGCCGTCGGAAGGGCAAGGAGAAGCACATGCCAAAATCTCCGCACACCAGATGGAAAATTCATGATTTTGGCGTTTTCGGGCCTTCCTGGAGGCCCTCTTGGAGACCCTCTTGGGCCGTCTTGGAGACCTCTTAGGGGGCCTCTTGCGCCGTCCTGGGCCATCTTGGGCCGTCTTGGTGGCCTCCTGGCCCGTCTGGCGCCGTCGGGAGCCGTTTTGGGGGCTTCTCCGGAGGCCACCTTGGTCGTCTTGGAGGCCTCTTGGGCAGTATTGGGGCCGTCTTGGGGGCTTCTTCGGCGTTTCTGGAGCCATTTTGGAAACCTCTTGGGTGCCTTTTGGGCCGTCTTGGGCCATCTCGGAGCCATTTTGGGTCGTCTTGGTGGCCTCCTGGCCCGTCTGGCGCCGTCGGGGGCCGTTTGGGGGGCTTCTCTGGGGGCCATCTTGGGTTTCTTGGAGGCCTCTTGGGCCGTCTTGGGGCCCTTTTAGGACGTCTTGGTGGCCTCCTGGCCCGTCTGGCGCCGTCGGGAGCCGTTTTGGGGGGCTTCTCCGGAGGCCATCTTGGTCGTCTTGGAGGCCTCTTGGGCAGTATTGGGGCCCTATTGGGGCCGTCTTGGGGGCTTCTTCGGCCTTTCTGGGGCCATCTTGGAGGCCTCTTGGGGGCCTCTTGGGCCATTTTGGGCCATCTTGGAGCCATCTTTGGCCGTCTTGGTGGCCTCCTTGCCCGGGGCTTCTCTGGAGTCCATCTTGGGCGTCTTGGAGGCCTCTTGGGCAGTATTGGGCCCCTCTTGGGACCGTCTTGGGGGCTTCGTCGGCCTTTCTGGGGCCATCTTGGAGGCCTCTTGGAGGCCTCGTGGGGCGATTTTTGGGGGCACTTGGGCTGTCTCGGGCCGTCAGAAGGGCAAGGAGACGCACATGCCAAAATCCTTGCAGATCTTGCGGATCGTGCCTTCCTGGAGGCCCTCTTAGAGGCCCTCGTGGGCCGCACGCCAGGCTGCCCTGTGGCAAGACCATAGGGGGCTGCGGATCGAAGACGCCTACGGCGAATCACCGCCGCCCCCTGCCTTTTTGGAAGCGCCTATGTGGCCGAATGTTGAGGCCAGACCTGCCAAGCTATCGGGCCATGGTTTGGAAAGTCTTCTGGGAACACGTGGGCATATTGAAGGCCATCTTGGCTTTGTGGAGGCCATTTTGATGCTTTCGGGCCTTCTTGGAGGACGTCTTGAAGGGCTCTTGGGCCGTCTTGGAGGCTCTTGGGCCGTCTTGGGGGCCTATTGGGGCCGTCTTGGGCCTCTTGGGCGATCTCTGGGGGCACTTGGGCCGTCTCGGGCCGTCGGAAGGCTGAAGAAGAACAAATGCCTTCAAAAACTTGTGGGAAATCAATGATTTGGGCCTTTTCGGCCATTCCTGGAGGCCCTCTTGGGAGCCTCTTGGCCCGTCTTGGGCCGTCTTAGGGCCATCTTGGGCCGTTTTGGTGGGCTCATGGCCCGTCCGACGCTGTCGGAAGCCGTTTGGGGGCCCCTCTGGACCGACTTGGGGCCCTCTTGGAATGCTCCAGGGCCGTCTTGGAGGCCATCTTGGGCGTCTTAAAAGCATCCTGGGCCGTCTTGGGGCCCTCTTGGGGCCGTCTTGGGGGCCTCTTGGGCTGTTCTGGGGCCATCTTGGAGGCCTCTTGGGCGATCTTTGGGCGATCTTTGGGCGCTCTTGGGCCGTCTCGGGCCGTCGGAAGGCCGACAAGAAGCACATGTTAAACTCTTCAACAACCCAAGGAAAATCAATGTTTTTGGCCTTTTCTCTGGCCTTCCTGGAGGCCCTCTTGGAGGCCTCGTGGGCCGTCTTAGGCCAGCTTCGAGCCAACTTCTGCCATCTTGGTGGGCTCCTGGCCCGTCTGACTCCGTCGGAAGCCGTTTGGGGGGCCTCTATGGGCCGATTTGAGGCCCTCTTTGTTGAGACCCATCGCATGATCTGTGTAACTGTAGGGGGTGGTAGGTAGGAGCAGGTAGCAGTAGCAGGGGTAGCATCAGAAACATGTTGCATTGCACTGCAGCCCTTTCGGTCCCGAGCGCAGGTAAAGGGACCCCTCTCCTCTCCTCCTCCGCGCACGCCGCCGCGTCATGGCAGCGGAGCGTGGCTGCTGAGAACGGCCCGCCAGGCCGCTTCCCCAGTGGGCCCTGAGCCCGCCCCCGGTGCGGGGACAGCACCACCCAGACCCAGGCCGCCTCCTGGGCCACCACCTCGGCGGACCGCCCGCCCTTCCCGCTCCCCCAGGGCCGCCCGGGGAGCACCCAGCCCGCCGGCACAGGGCCGGCCGTCTGGAGGGCACGAGAGCCTTCCACAGCCGGTCACGCTGAGACCAGCACGGGGTCAGGGAAACCCCAACAACAGACGAGTGAGGAGCAAGGAGTCCCACGAGCTGCGGACGAGCCGGCGGGAGCTCAGACTCCGGCTGAAGCACAAGGACCCTGCACTCAGAGAGGGTTTGTGCAACGAGCTGGGCGCCAGGCAGAGGGAGTCTCTAGGTCTGACTCCGTTGAGCGGAAGATCGGGACAAATCAGAACCAGAGATTCTGGGAGAGTTCCAGAGAAAAATAGAACGCCGATTTGTGGAGCGTCGCGCGCGCATTCGCAGAAGTTCCCAAAGAGTGTTCGAGGGCTTGAGGAGCCCAAGTAACACATGGGCGCTCAATTAAACTGTTGAGGGCGGGCAGAAAATCTGGTGTGCACGAGCATTGTGAGCGGGTGCGCGGCTTGCACGGGGGGCGCAGTAGGTTTGCGTTTCAGGGACTTGGGCGCCGGCCAATGCGCTGATGGGGGGCCCGAGAATGCGTCACACATATTACGCCTGTGGCGCCATTGAGGCCGCATTTGCGGTTGCCGGTGGGCGGGCGCCCCGCCGCGCGCACCGTGGCGACAGCTCTCTTGGGCGCCCGCCCGCCGCCGTGGACGTAGCGGGCCAAGCTAGTCTCTCGGTCGGCGCGCAGCGGGTCGGCAGCCACGACGCTGGCGGCTTGAAAATGCTTCGAAAGTGTTTCTCCCCGAGCCCGGGGGTATTGTACGTTTTCGGTGGCACGCGCAGCTCGGAGAAAAATCGCCTTGTCCGTCGGCGGCCAGTTGGCTGTCGTCGCGCAGAAGTACCGGCGGATGGCGCGGTCCACGCTCAGCGCAGAGAGCGTGTCCATGAGCGTGGACTCGTCGAGGGGCAGGAGGAAGGACCTCGCGGTCGGGACCATCGCGGCCCGCGAGGTCCACGGCCCCCACCCTGGGCGCGCGAGGACCTGCTGGGCGCCGCCGCAGCGCGATCTCAGAGGATCTCGGAACCAGAAATCCGGGCGCGCCAAATTTCGCGGGCCGAAAAACTCTCAGTCTCCGAGTCTTTGGGTTTATGGGAATGTTTCACGCGGGGTGGCGAGTCCAGAGATTTTCAGAGATTCTCAGAGAAGTTCGGACGCGAGAATTTGGCGCGCCCCGGTTTCTGGTTCTGTGAATCTCTGAAAAGCGGTCCCTTAGGTTTTACCGGGTCTCCAGGCGTCCTACTGTCAGCCAGAGACGAGCGACTGGCTGGCGCCGCGCCCGATGCTTCCGGAGTTGCGAACTCGGTCTTCGATTCCCTGGGGCCCGCGGTCCCCTGGGCCAATTGCGAGGTTGCCGAGCCCCCCAGGCGGTTGCGCGCGATTGTCTCGGAAACCGGAGTTGGGCATCCATTGTGGACGCCCGCGCGCACGCGCTAGGTGTCCGCGAGATTGTTCGTTGGCGGATCTTGCATGGCGCGGGGATTTTCTAAAGACTTTCCGGGGTGTTCTCTACGGTTATTTCGGCGCGTTTCAGGAACTTTGGGGCGGCGCGGGGAAGTCGCCTGGCCGCGCGCGTGACTTGTTTTCCAATGCCGTCTTGGGCATTATCGCGGTGTTGCTTGGCCGAAGAGGTCACTGAGTAACGCGATGTTTGACATTTTCGTGTTTTTTGTTTCGTTGCGTTGGTTGCGCGATTGCTTTGGTGGTCCGCCTCCTTGGGGCCCCCTTTGGGCCTCAAGTTTGTTTTGTTGACGTCGGGCCTTCTGGAGTGAAAGGCGCTTGGCGCTGAATTCCCTCGGTCGTGCGCGTGGCCAAATACGCGCCGCGGCTTCATCCGCGCCGGGGCGCTTTTCTTCCCTCGCGAAGCCGATGGCGCCCAAGGCATGGCAGGCCCGTTCGGCGGCGCCCCTGGTGATTTGAAAAACCGAGCATGATTTTTACCCCGGTCAAATTTTGCCCCCACTGACCTTGGACGTGCCCCCGACAGCGACCGAGCGCCGCGAGCACTTGGAGGCTCTCTGGGAACCCTACAGGCGGAGGGTCGCAGGCGAGGCGCCGAAGCTGGTCACCGACAGCTCGGGGCAGACTCGCGGAGTCGATCCTGAGCCTGGCCGCCAGCGGGCGTTGCGTGCCAGGAAGCGCGAGTGGTTCGACAACAGCCGCAGTCGCGCCCTCGAGTTGCTGCTGTTGGACGGCGACGAGCTCTTCGAGAAGGCCAAGCCGCTCCTGGACAGGCGGCAGGAACTCCAGGCGCGACAGGACGCCGGAGAGGCCGACGACCGCGAACAGCGGGAGCTCAGCCGCCTGCTCGAGGAGCTGGAGGTGATCTCCTGCGCGCTTGCTGAACTAGAGGACAGCAGGGCCTGGCGCGAGCAGCGTCTCCAGGACACCGACGGGGCGCCGCCGGGCCACTCGCAGCGCGGCGCTGCGAGCTCAGCGGCTGCTCCAAGCCGCCACAGGCCGTCCGTCGCGCCCCAGCGGCAGCGCGAGGCGGCCGAGCGAGGGCAGCCAAGCTGTCCCGAGCGCCGGGGTGCCACAGCGGCTGACACTAGCCGTCGTGCACCGTCAGCGGCCCCGCAGAGGCCGCGACCGTCGGCAGCGCCGGAGCGCACAGCGTGGCGCCGCTCTCGCTCGAGGAGCAGGCCATCGTGCAGGTGGCAGGACGCGGCGCCATGGCGACTGTAGAAGATCAGGTGCGGGAACAGCTGCGTCAGCAAGACCAGCAGATCCCTGAGCTCGCTGCCACTGTTCAACAGCTGAGGGCGGTGCCGGCGCCGCAGCCAGCGCAGCCAGCGCAGCCTCTCGTGCAGTTTCAGCCTGCTGTAGACACGCGCCTCATCGGCAAACCAGAGCTGTTATACGGGCAGCGTGCAAAATGGAGCGACTGGGCTTTTATCTTTCGAGCTTACTTAGCAGCGATAGATACAAAGTACCCGGCGTTGTTGGACGAAGCGGAGGCTTCGGAGGTGGCAATCAGGAACGTAGACCTTGACCAGCCGTGGAAGGCGTCACTAAGTTCGCAGCTTTACTACTTGATGGTAATGCTGTTCCGGTCAGCAGCCCAGGACAAAATGTCCACCGTGTCCTCCGGAGAGGGACTGGAGGCATGGAGACAGTCGGTCCTCGACTGGGACCCCAAGATCCGCACGAGGCGGGTCGGGTTGCTGATCAAGATACCCACCGCGAAGTTCAGCGGGGACATCCCGCAGAGCTTAGATCAGTTTGAACATCTGATCCGCGAGCACGAGCAGCAGTCGAAAAAGGTCTTCGACGAAGATCTTAAGATTGGCCTGGTGGTGGTCAACATGCAGGACACCGACGTCCAACAACACCTTGTGAAGAACGCAAGCAGGTTGGAAACTTGGAAGGCCATGGAGGAGGAGCTGCTCGACATGGCGCGAACCACGCAGTACCTGAACTCCCAGCCCAAACCTAGGAGCTAGGCGCCATACCACAAAGAGGAAAGGGCAAGAAGGGGGATGGTAAGGGTAAATGTGAAGGTGAAGGTAGGAAGGGGGAAGGAAAAGGAGGCGATCCACGGAAAGGGAAAGGAAAGGACGCCAAGGGAGCCCCGAAGGCCAAGGCAAAGGCGGAAGCCAACAAGGAGAAGGAGTGCTTCTACTGCCACAAGAAGGGGCACATCGCCGCGGAGTGCAGGAAGAAGGCGAGGGACAACCAGGCTAGGCTGGCAGCGGCCTCCTGAGGCCGCGCAGCAAGGCGGTGCAGGACCCCCGCCTACGGCGCAACCGGTGGCCGGTCTCATGCAGATCGGGCAGGAGGAGGTGCAGCATGGGTATTTGATGCCATTTTGCTCACCGAGCGACTCCGGCGAAATGTTGGCCCCCATGCCTCAGAGAGTCATGGTCGACACAGGTGCTGGCAGGTCCGTGTGTCCGGCTGGTTTTGACCCCCGGGCAGAGCCGGACAGCTCTGTCAAACCAACCACGCTGACGACGGCGACGGGGGAAGAAGTGAACCTTTCGGACGGAAAGAGGTCTCACTTCCAGGCAGACGACGGCAGTGGCGTTGTCTTGCGGTACAGTGACAGCGACAAGGTCACGGTTCCTGTCGTCTCGGCGTCAGAGTCGACCGAGCAAGGCAACTGGCTGGTATTTGGCCCTGGGGTGCAGCGTATCATAGGGCCAGACCACGCCGAGCACCTCAAGGAAACCGTGCGCCAATCGAGCGGATTGGACATGGTAAAGGATAGGGGGGTGTACTGGCTGGAAGTGTGGGGGGCGACAGGGCAGGAAGAGGCGAGGCCGCTCTGCCCAGCGAAGGCAGCAAGGAAAACGTCCACCCGGCTGGACAATAACCAGCGGCACCTGACGCCATGCAACCAGCAGCGGAAGTGGATGCCCCGAGGCCGAACGTGCAACAAGGAGGGTCGTCCTCGAGCGCGTCCGGCGCTATGCGCCCAGACCCCGCGCTGCCTGACCAACGGCCGCCTACGCTGATGCCAGACTCGGAGGAGCCACGGGCGCCGCGAGCAAAAGCCATACCACCAACTGTGAGCAAGGCGGAGTGGGACGCGCACCAGCTAACCCATCTGCCGTTCAGGTCGTGGTGTGAAAGCTGCGTCACAGGCAAGGCCGCCGAAGACCCCCACCGGCAGCTCCAGCAGGTTCCCGACGGAGCAACGCCGAAAGTGTGCATGGATTACCTTTTCCTCACGCAAAAGGCGGTGGAGAAGGAGATGTACGGTGTGTTGAACGTGCTGGACGCGAAGTCCGGCGCCCCGTTTTCAGGCATGGTCAACCAAAAGGGGGACGACGACTATGCATTGGCAATCGCCCACGAAGGAGTGCGCTTCGCAGGCAGGACAAACTTGATTGCATGTTGTGACGGCGAGAGCGCTATCAACAAGCTGTGCGACAAGTTTCTGGAAACCCGGCCTTCCGGACATACTGTCACGAAGGTGAACACACCGAAGGGCAGTAGTCAGAGCGCAGGGCTGATTGAGCGCAGCAATTACGAGGTTGAGAAGGAGTACAGGGCCGTGAAGCACAGGCTGGAGTCCGTCTACAAGCAGGCGTTCCCACTCAGCCACAAGGTAAGGTGCAGCCCTGGCTTGTGAGACGCTCGAGTTGGCTCATCGTCCGTTTTCTCGTCAAGGCAGACGGCAAGACGCCGTACGAGCGCCTGCGTGGCAAGCCATACAACGGCGAGATTGTCGAGTTCGGGGAGTGCGTCTACCACAAGAGTCCTCTTAGCGAAGTGGGCAAAGCGGACGACCGCTGGCACCTTGGTGTCTGGCTCGGGAAATCCATGCGATCAGACGAGCACCTGATTGGCACTGCCAATGGAGTGCTGTTGTGCAGGCCGATATGGAGGAGGCCAGAGAAGGACAGGTGGGACGCGCAGCTGCTTGACCGATTCGTCGGCTCTCCTTGGGCCCTGGTGCCCCCAGGAGTCAAGGAGGTCAAGCCCCGTGAGGTGTACATCACCCTCGACAAGATCATCCGCCTCGGCAAAACACCCGGTTGCCCTGGCTGTCGTGCGCCAGGAGAGGCGAGGCACACAGCTGAGTGCCGCGAGAGGTTCGGCAAGCTCGTAGGAACTGAAAAGGAAGACGCCGCCAAACGGAGGCAGGAAACGCAACCAGCGGCACTTGATGCCGCGCAGCCAGCAGCGGCACCTGATGCCGGACAACGTGTAGCGGCACCTGATGCCGCACAGCCAGCAGCGCACGCTGCTCAAGCACACCCGCCTCCTGCTGCTGCACCGCCAGGCGGTGCGAAACGCAAGCCAGCAACAGCAACAGCAACAGCACCAGCAAGCTGTGCCCTTCCAGACGTGCAGATGGGGGAAGCACTCGTAGGTCAGGAGGACGCCCGCGACGTCGAAATGGAGGGGGAGCCACAGGAGGACTCCCAGTCGAAGAGGTCCCGGCTAGTCGCCGGCCTGCCGACTCTCCACGAGCCAGCTGTAGTGGCAGCTGCTTTTGGGACGTGCGTGTGTTCTCTGGCAGCGGCACCTGATGCCGACAGCAGCGACCCACAAGGATGCCCTGTACAGATGGAGTGGGACAAAGATTTCTTCTCCACGAAAGCAGGCATTAAACTGGACCCCCAGAAAGTGCTAGAGGGTAAGATCCGCGAGATGACCCAAATAGAAGCCTACAAGGTGAAGGAGGACATCCCATGGTCCACAGCCAGAAAAAGAAAACTGACAGTTGTCAACTCGAAGTGGCTGCTTGAACCCAAACCGACAGCTGAAAACCCGGAGGCGGTACGGGCCAGGCTGGTAGCAACAGAGGTCAACACGTATGCGCGCGAGGACGTGACACAAAGCACACCTCCGGTGAAAGTCTTCCGGATCATTGTGTCGTTGGCCGTGTCCAAGCAGAGGGCGGACGGGTCATGGTCTAGGCTCGTGGTTGGGTACGATGTCTCGGTTGCTTTCTTCCACGCAGACAGCGACGGCACGACGGCAGTCATCCCACCACCAGACGTCCGCAGAGAAGGATACGTGTGGTTGTTGCTGAAAACCATGTATGGCACGAGAGAAGCTTCGAAACGCTTTGGTCAGTACGTGATCCACGCTTTAACTTCGGAAGGTTTCGAACTTGTTGTTGTTGTTGTTCCCATGACATCCTTTCACAGAGCATTGGATGTGTCCATGGGTTGTCACGGCGACGGTTTTCTTGCAGAAGGCGAGAGCGATTCGTTAGACCAGGTAGACAACATCATGCGCAAGCACTTCGAAGTGAAGATCTTGCCTCGAATCGGCCTCCCGGAGTTCGGCGGACAGGCGGCGACCGGAAGCCACCTGAAGAGGACGATCCGCTGGACCACGTCCGGTTTTGAGTGGGAGTGCGACCCGCAGCACATCCTTGATCTCGTCGAGCTCCACGGCCTCACACCGGGAGTGTCCAAGGGTATGAGCACGCCAGCGTCCAAAGACACCGGGAAGGGCGACAGAGACGTCCACGATCCCCTTGGGAGGGGCGACGCGGTGCTCTTCAGGACAGGAGCGGGGACGCTACAGTACCTCGCAGAGGACACGCCCACGGTCAAGTTTGCAGCCTCTGGGATCATGGAGGGGATGACGGCGCCTCTCCAGATTCACCAGATGAGGCTGGCACGCTGCAGCCGGTACCTGTTGGACCACCCAGGAGAAGTGTGGCTCTTCGACTACCAGAAGATGCCCTTATCTCTTACGGAGTACTGCGACTCAGACTGGGCAGCAGACCGAGAGACGAGGAAGAGCGTGAGTTGTGTGGTCGAGAGCTTCGGGAAACATTTGATCGATGTAAGCGCATCGAAACAGTCTCTCCTGGCCCTTTCGAGCGGGGAGGCAGAGTTCTATGCCATCATCAAAGGAGCAACACAGGGCGTGCAGACAAGCCAGGTGATTGAATCTTTCGTTGGCCGCGAGTGCAAGCTAGATTTGCTGAGCGACTCGTCAGCAGCGCAGGGAATCTGCAACCGGCACGGGAGTGGTAAGGTGAGGCACCTGTCCGCGAAAGACCTCTGGGTGCAGTCATTCTTCCGTGACAACCGCGGCAACCTGAAGAAAGTTGGCACGGATGTTAACTGGGCAGACCTTGGTACGAAGGCGCATGCACAGGCTCGGCTACAGCAGCTAGTGGACATGATGCCACTGAGGAGGAACGAGCCCTTGAGGAGCGAAAGGAGGAAGGGCTTGAGCTCAGGCAGGGTTGCGTCGTTTCTGGCGATGCTGAACCCGTGCAGGTAGCGGGCCCTGAGTCCGCAAGCAACACCAAGCAGTGGACCCTGAGTCCGCGACCAACAGCGGGGCTTGACTCCGCACGCGAGGACGCTGCGCACGCCTAGCCGGCAGCGCGGCGACCGGGAAGGCAGCAGAAGCCTGCCACAATCCCACAATACCAACGCGCATGGCTATGGTGGTGGACTCCCCATACATGCGCTACGCCAGCGGGTGCTGGCAAGCCTGGCTGCCAGGAGCTGCCGGGCGGAGTGTGCTGTGAGCACGCCGTATGTCCGTGCAAGGGGTACGGGTACGCAGTAAGTAAACAAACAGTACGACTTGTGTACACAGTTACTGAAACGAAGCCCCGTCTATGGATTTAGCGGGCCATCTGCTCATGGACTTGACAGATGAGGAGGTGTCTACAGGAGGCTGGAGTCTGATCAACTCTCTCTTGACACTGAGCGAGCCGGAAGGGCAGGGACTGGCACTGAGCGGATCGTGCATCCGCCACCTTGACAGTGAAGCGCGGCTCTGGGAGCCGCCCTGCAAAAGCCGACCACCCCAGCGTAGCCTGATTCCTTGGAGAGGCCGGGAGCACTCTTAGGACGCTTCTTGCCTAGGTCATGCTAGGTACAGGCTCTGACCAGACAGCAAGGTCTCGGCAGAATGGAGGGGTGTTGAGACCCATAGCATGATCTGTGTAACTGTAGGGGGTAGTAGGTAGGAGCAGGTAGCAGTAGCAGGGGTAGCATCAGAAGCATGTTGCATTGCACTGCAGCCCTTTCGGTCCCGAGCGCAGGTAAAGGGACCCCTCTCCTCTCCTCCTCCGCGCACGCCGCCGCGTCACTCTTGGGGTGCTCCAGGGCCGTCTCAGGGGCCATCTTGGGCGTCTTGGAGGCATGTTGGGTCGTCGTTGTGCCTTCTTGGGGCCGTCTTGGGGGCCTCTTGCGCAGTCCTGAGGCCATCTTGGAGGCCTTTTGGGCGCTGTGGGGGCGATCTTCGGGGCCTCTTGGGCCGTCTAGAGTCGTCGGAAAGCCAAAAAGGAGCACATACGAAGAGCCTGTAGAAACCTAAGGACGATTAATGATTTTGGCCTCTTCGGGTCATCCTGGAGGACCTCTTGAAGGCTTCTTGGGCCGTCTTGGAGGCCTCTGGGGGGCCTTTTGGGCCGTCTTGGGCCGTCCTGGAGGTTTCTTGGGCGGACTTGGAGGCATCTCCTCCTCTCTTGGGCGGAATTGGAGGCCATCGGAGGCCATCTTGGAGGCCATCGTGGGCTAACGTGGCCATCATGGAGGCCATCTTGAGCCGTCTTGGACGACAAACTGTGCAATTGGGCACCTTTCCGGGTGGCCGGCGGGGCGCGTCGGAGGCCCAGGGGGAGTTCTTTTGAAAAAAGAACCAAAACCGAAGGGTCTAGCACGCCAGGCACCCCTGCGATGAACCGACAGGGGGCGGCGGATCGAAGACGCCTACGGCGAATCACCGCCGCCCCCTGCCTTTTTGGAAGCGACTATGTGGCCGAAGGTTGTGGCCAGAGGCCTGCCACGCTATCGGACCATGTGTTCCCCGAATCGGTGTGGAAAGCCTTCGGGGAACACGTGGGCATCTTGAAGGTCATCTTGGCCGTCTGGAGGCCATTCTGACCCTTTCGGGCCTTCTTGGAGGACGTCTTGGAGGGCTCTTGGGCCGTCTTGGAGGCTATCTTGAGCGTCTTGGAGACCTCTTGGGCCGTTTTGGGGGCCTCTTGGGGCCGTGCCTTGGACCTCTTGGGCGATTTTTGTGGGCACTTGGGCCGTCTCGGGCCGTCGGAAGGCAGAATAAAGCAAATGCGACAATCCTTCACAAACCCATGGCAAATCAATGATTTTGGTATTTTCGGGCCTTCCTGGAGGCCCTCTTGGAGGCCTCTTGGGCCGTCCTGGGCCATCTTAGGGCCATGTTCGGCCGTCTTGGTAGGCTCCTGGTCCGTCTGACGCCGTCGGAAGCCGTTTGGGGGGCCTCTATGGGCCGACTTGGGTCCCTCTTGGAATGCTCCAGGGCCGTCTTGGAGGCCATCTTGTGCGTCTTAAGAGCCTCCTGTGCCGTCTTGGGGGCCTCTTGGGGCCCTCTGGGGGCCGTCTTGGGGGCCTCTTGGGCCGCTCTGGGGCCATCTTGGAGGCCTCTTGGGCGATCTTTGGGCGATCTTTGTGTGCTCTTGGGCCGTCTCGGGCCGTCGGAAGGCCGAAAAGAGCAAATGTCAAAATTCGTCAAACACCCTAGGCCAATCAATGTTTTTGGCCTCTTCTGGCCTTCCTGGAGGCCCTCTTGTGGGCCTCTTGGGCCGTCTTGGGTCAGCTTCGAGCCAACTTCGGCCACCTTGGTGGGTTCCTGGCACGTCTGACGCCGTCGGGGGCCGTCTTGGAGGCCTTTCTGGGCCGACTTGGGGCCCTCTTGGGGCGCTTCGGGGCCGTCTTGGAGGCCATCTTGGGCGTCTTGGAGGCCATCTTGGGCTTGTTGGAGGCCTCTTGGCCCGCCTTGGGGCCCCCTTGGGGCTGTCTTGGAGGCCACTTGGGCCGTCATGGGGCCCTCTTGGGGGCCTCTTGGGCGATCTTGGGGGCTTCTTGGGCCGCCTTGAGCCGTCGGAATGCCGGGAAGAAGCGAACCCCCAATTCCTTCAAACACCAACGGACAATCAATGATTTTGGCCTCTTCGGGCCCTCCTGGAGGACCTCTTGGAGGCCTCTTGGGCCGTCTTGGAGGCCTCTGGGGGGCCTTTTGGGCCGTCATGGGCCGTTTTGGACTCTCTGGGGCCGTCTTGGAGGCTGTCTTGGACCATCTTGGGCGGACTTGGAGGCCATCTTGGACCATCTTGGAGGCCATCTTGGGCCAACGTGGCCATCTTGGAGGCCATCTTGAACCGTCTTGGAGGATTTTTTCGGGACGGGCCGAAGCGCCAGGGGGAGTTCTTTTGGAAAAAGAGCCAAAACCAACACCGAGAGGTTGAGCACGCCAGGCACCCCTGCGACAGGGGGCGGCGGATATCGAAGACGCCTACGGCGAATCACCGCCGCCCCCTGCCTTTTTGGAAGCGCCTATGTGGCCGAACGTTGAGGCCAGACCTGCCAAGCTATCGGACCACGTGTTCCCCGAATCGGTTTGGAAAGCCTTCGGGGAACACGTGGGCATCTTGAAGGTCATCTTGGCCGTCTTGGAGGCCTCTTGGGCAAGCTTTGGGCGATCTTTGGGGCTTTTTGGGCCGTCTCGGGCCAGCTTCGAGCCAACTTCGGCCATCTTGGTGGGTTCCTGGCACGTCTGAAGCCGTCGGAAGCCGTTTGGGGGGCCTCTATGGGCCGACTTGGGGCCCGCTTGGAATGCTCCAGGGCCGTCTTGGAGGCCATCTTGGGCGTCTTGGGAGGCCATCTTGGGCGTGTTGGAGGCCTCTTGGGCCCTCTTGGGGCCCTCTAGGGGCCATCTTGGAGGCCACTTGGGCCATCATGGGGCTCTCTTGGGGGCCTCTTGGGCGATCTTGGGGGCTTCTTGGGCCGTCTTGAGCCGTCGGAGAGCCGAAAAGGCGCAAATGCCAAAATCCTTCAAAAACCAAGGGAAAATCAATGATTTTGGCCTCTTCGGACTCTCCTGGAGGACCTCTTGGAGGCCTCTTGGGCCGTCTGGGAGGCCTCTGGGGGGCCTCTTGGGCCGTCTTGGGCCGTCTTGGACTCTCTTGGGCCGTTTTGGAGGCCGTCTTGGACCATCTCGGGCGGACTTGGAGGCCATCTTGGGCCATCTTCGCGATTTTTGAGGATGTCCCGAGCGAAACGGCAATTTTTGGCGTCTAGAGATGGGTTTTCCGAAATTTGCGGGTGGCCGGCGGGACGGGCCGAAGCCCACTGGGGAGTTCTTTTAGAAAAAGAACCAAAACCAAAACCTGAATCATCCAGCACGCCGTGCACCCCTGCAAGCAGGGGGCGGCGGATATCATGGCCTTCGGCCCATCCCGCCACCGTGCCTGGGCCTCTAGGGTGTTCGTTGGGATGTCGCGGGGGGCCTCTCGGGTTCCTTTTGGAGGTAGTTTTGAAGCCTCTTAGGGGGCCGTCTTGGGCCGTATTGGGGGTTTTTTGATGGCGTCTTTGGGCCTCTTGGGGTCCTCTTGGGCCTCCTAGGGGCATCTCGGGACAGAAGGCTCGAGTTGTCGGTTCGGGCTCCCACTCATTGGGCCCCTGTTGGTGCCGTTGTGCGGCCCGCGGGGGCTGTTTTGGGGACCTCTCGGGGGCCTCGTGGGCCGTCTGTGGGCGGTCTTGGGGTCGTACTGGGCCGTCTTGAGCGCCGTGTCCTCAAAGTCGTGATCAAAAATGATACACGTCGGAATTGGGCGATGTTTGCTTCTTGCCGCCCTATTGGGAATACTCTTGGAGGCCTCTTGCGACGTCTTCGGCGCGTTATCGGCGACTGGAGGCAATCTTGGGCGTCTTGGACCGATCGTTCAGCGATTCGGGTTCCTCTCGGGCTTTCTTGGGGGCCTCTTGAGGCACTCTTAGCCCGTCTTTGGGGAGCCACGCGACGAGCCCCGGAGCTTTAGGAGTTTGGGGCCCGGGCTCTTGGAAGAATTCTCAGGATTGAGGACTGAGACTTTAGGGATTGAGCAAGGAACCTGAGGACACTCCAGCTCGTGCCTCAAGGGCACGGTGGCGGATATTATCCCCCACACATCTATGTGTATGTTTGTAGATGTATGTATGTAAGCAGATATACTCAGACATGCATACGCGCATATACATACATACATGCATACATACATACAGACAGACAGACAGACAGGCAGGCATACGCACACGTACATACATACACACATACATACATGCATGCATGCATACATGCATGCATACATACACACACATACATATTCACACATATACATACATACATACATACATACGAACATACATACATACATACATACATACATACATACATACATACATACATACATACGTACATACATGTACACATGCATGCATGCATGCATGCATACATACATACATGCATGCATGCATGTATACACACGTACATGCATACATGTATACATCCATAGTAACAAACAAACAAGCATACATGCATACATACATACATGCATGCATGCATGCATCCATACATACATACATACAGACAGAGGGACAGACAGACATACATAAATACATACATACCTTTATACATACATGCATGCATGCATACATACATGCATGCATGCATACATACATACGCATCCATCCATCCATCCATCCATTAATCCATCCATCCATCCATCCATCCATCCATACATACATACATACATATTTTCAAAAGGCTTACGACTTTCCGCCGACCCCCAGTCGAGGCGGGGAGTCCACGGTTGAGGTGTTGTGAATTTTCTGGGCGCTATCTTGGGACTCTTGTGGGCTTCTTGGGACTTGTTTGGTGCTTGGTTGAGCCTCACGCAGGCTGTTTTGAAGCGTCTTCGGGGCCGTTTGAGGACCTCGTTTGGCTCTTTGGGGGGCCTCTTGGGGCTTGTTGGGGGCCTCTGTTGGGCCGCGTGGGGGCTGGGCTTCTTGGGGCTGAGGGGGGGGCGCTTGAGGCGGAAAGGGTTGATGTTCTGTTCGGGATTTCCCTCTTGGCCTCCCTTGTGGCCGTCTTGGCGCGATCTTTGGCCGTCTTGGGCCCCTCTTTGGGCCGTCTTGGAAGCTTCTTGGGCCGTCCTTGGGCCCTCGTAGGGACCGCTTGGGCAGTTTTGGGCGCTCGACGGGGCCTCGTGGGCCGTCTTGGAGCGTCGGAAGCTCGAGAAGACGATAACTCCAGAAATAATGAACAACCAAAGGGGAGCACTTGTTTGTTTTGCAATGCTCTTAGGCCTCTCTTTGGGAGTCTCGAAGGCGTCTTGGGGCGTCTTGCAGCCATCGTAGGCATCTTGGGCCACTCGTTCGGCGATTCGGGACCGTCTTGGCACGTCTTTGAGGCCACGGAAGGCAGACCTGGAAGCTCCAGAGTCTCGAGGGAGGCGCCGAGGAGCTCGTGCCCCCTCCCCCAAACAATAGTGTGGACCCTGGGGGGGGGGGGGGGGGGAAAGGGTAGGGGAACATCCAATCATTTCGCACGCCTTCTCACCATGGGTAAGCGGGGGTCGGCGGATTCATCGTGTGGGTACGGGTGGCCTATAGACACATTTATGTGTGTAGTTCTAAACGTGTGTATGTGTGTGTGTGTGTGTGCGTGTGTGTGTGTGTGTGTGTGTGTGTGTGTGTGTGTGTGTGTGTGTGTGTGTTTGTGCTCGTCGTTCTGATAGGTCGTGAGATCGATAGGTGGTAAGATCGATCGATCGACAGTGACATTGAACGACACATAGTATATATATATATATTCATATATACACATATTATTATACTATGTGTATATATGTATATATATACATATATATATATATATATCGATTTCGATTGGGTGCCAATCGCAACTTGAAAGCTGCACCGGTTCCCTATAGTCATGCTCAGAGATACGTGGCATGTCCAGACGTGCTCTGCAATGCAATGCTAAGTGATTTGCCATGCGACGTATCCCCCCAGTCTCCTCCTCATCCTCCACGTGGCCCTTGTTCATTTATCCCGTCGTCGTTATCGTCCTTGTTTTGCTCGTCCTCCTGTCTCGGCTCCATCGCCAGCCACCGCTTCCAGAAATCACTGCGAACCTCAGGAATCTCCGCGAACCATCCGAGATCCGTCAGTACAGACCCGCCGAAAAACTCCGAGATCACCAGATGATCGCCGGTTCCCGTGAGGATCCGGGTGCGGGAGGGAATGACAGTTGAGGCAGAGGAGGAGGAGACTGAGGAGGAGGAGGAGGAGGAGGAGGAGGATTCTACGGATTCTACGGGCCAAAACGGATCACTTTGCCCTGCGGTTTCGTGCCGTGGGCCGCCTGGCCGCGGCGGGCCGTCCCCGCGCCAACCAGACAGCCTGGGGGAAGCAGATTTCTCCACTCCCTTCGCCTTCTCGTACAAGCCCCCATTCCAGCGTTGTAACTAACATGAACTCGCTCGAGACTATTTTTTTCTCCAGCCTCGCCGCCCGCGTCTCGCGAGTCGCTGGCCCAGAGCTCGCACGCTGTGGCAGCCCGCTGCCGCTGCCTGCTTCTCGCACGCACGCTTGGGCAGCCCCGCTGCCACTGGCTGCTTGCTTTCCCCTTCTTGCACGAGTGGATTTCCTCCACTCCTGCTCTCGCACAACGGGCTGATCTCTGCACTGTAACTGAGGGTAGCTCGTCCGTGACCTGCCCTTTCGCGCCAGAGCCCGTTCGTTGGCCCCTGCACTTCTCGCACGCGCTGCTTCTAGCGAGTCTAGCTGGATAGAGTCGGGCTCCAACTTTGCCTCCCGCTTCTCCCAGCGCGCGGTGGTGGCTAGGAAGGTGGCGTTTGGCTCCAGCTTTGCCTCCCTCTTCTCGCAGCGGCTTGCCCAGATCCCAACGCTGTAGCTGACGACGTCGGGCTCTGCCGTCGCCTCCCACTTCTCGCAGGATGGCGCTCTTCTCGCACCCACTGTTCCCAGAGGTGTTAGCTAGATGACGTGTGGCTCCAGCTTTGCTTCCCTCTTCTCGCAGCGGCTTGCCCAGATCCCAACGCTGTAGCTGACGACGTCGGGCTCTGCCTTCGCCTCCCACTTCTCGCAGGATGGCGCTCTCCTCGCACACACTGTTCCCAGAGGTGTTAGCTAGATGACGTTTGGCTCCAGCTTTGCCTCTCTCTTCTCGCACCGGCTTGCCCCGATTCCAACGCTGTAGCTGTCGACATCGGGCTCTGCCTTCGCCTCCCACTTCTCGCAGGATGGCGCCCCCCTGCGCCGCGGCAGAACATTGCTCGCTTTTCTCGCACGCGCTGTTCCCAGAGGCGTTCGCTAAAAGAGACACTCGGGCTCCAGCTTCGCCTCCCGCTTCTCGCAGGCCCTCCTTCTCGCACGGACGACTCCCAGCGTTGCAGCTGATCGTGGCCCACCCGCGCATTTTGCACAGCGCCAGCGTCCGCTGCCACTGCGCGCTCCCTTTCTCGCACGGATTGCTCCCAACGTTGTAGCTGATCGTGGCCCACCCGCGCCTTCGTCCTTCTCGCAGCGCCAGCTCTGGCTGCCAGTGCTTGCTTTCTCGCAGCGTTCCAGGGGGAGGATGAGGGCCAAGGCCATCGGGCTCTAACTTCACCTCCCCCTTCTCGCAGCCGTTTTCTCGCAGCGCCAGCGTCCGCTGCCACTGCTTGCCCCCCTTCTCGCACGGGTCGCTCCCAGCGCTGTAGCTGATCGTAGCCCACCCGCACGGTTTGCAGCGCCACCGTGTGCTGCCACTGCGCGCACCCTTCTCGCTCGGACTGCTCCCAGCGTTGTAGCTGATCGTGCCACATCCGTTTGTGCTCGCTTTTCCTTCTGCCCCAGCACTGTAGCTGATCACGTCGGGCTCTACCTTCGCCTCCCGCTTCTCGCAGTTGGGCGTCGGGTTTAGAGGCGGGCCCCAGCTTTGCCTTCCACTTCTCGCATAGTAGTGGTATAGGGCTAGACTAGATTGGCCGCTGGCTCCAATGTTGGGTTCCAGCTTCGCCTTCTGCCACTCGCAGTGAGGTGTGGCATATGACTCCCAGTGTAGCATGCCCTGATCGCCGCGCTGTGACTGACCGTATCTGGCTCGACCTTCGACGGCCACCAGCTTGGCCTCCAGCGTCGGATGCGGAGACGGCTGTAGCTGACGGCGTTGGGTTTGACCTTTACCATCCCGCTTCTCGCAGTGAGGTGTATGGTCTGGCTCCCGCTCGTGACCCTGAGCCCAGCGTTGTAGCTGCTGACGTCGGGCTCGTCCTTCGTCTTCTCGACGGTTTGCCTGCACTCTGACCGCGGCGCCGCAACTGTTGGCGCCCCGGTTTGCCAGGAGGTGGAGGAGGGGGGGAAGGAGCGGGGGAGGGGGCGGAGGGGGGCGGGCTTCCTGGCGGCTGCGCGCTCGCCTGGTCTCAGCGTTGCAGCTGATGACGGTGGGCCCCGCGCTGCTTCTTGACTGAGGCCTGGCCTCAGCATTTCTTCTTTACGGCTCGGGCGCGCAACGCCACTTCGAAGTTGGCGCGCCACATCGTCAAGGAGGCCCGGTGCAGGGGAGGCCGCTCGGACGCGAAATGGCTGAGGAGGAGGAGGAGGAGGAGGAGAAGGGGGAGGAGGAGGGGGAGGGGGAGGAGGGAGGAGGAGGAGGGGAGGAGGAGGAGGAGGAGGAGGAGGAGGAGGAGGAGGAGGAGGAGGAGGAAAAGGAGGAGGTGGAAGGGGTGGTGGTGGAGGAGGAGGAGGAGGGGGAGGGGGAGGGGGAGGGGAGGAGGAGGAGGAGGAGGAGGAGGAGGAGGAGGAGGAGGAGGAGGAGGAGGAGGAGGAGGCGGAGGCAAAGGAGGAATATCAGGAGGAGGAGGAGGAGGAAGAGGAGGAGGAGGAGGAGGAGGAGGAGGCGGAGGAGGAGGAGGAGGAGGAGGATTGCGGAGGCCAGGGCCCTCCCCCCCCTGAAACACCGGAGCGCGGCCCCCTCCAGGACGCGTCCGGGGACGGCGTGCTGGAGATCCAGGCGGCTGCGTGCTGCGCGCACCGCCCTCTCTGCGCTTCTCCTCCTAGGGGCCTCTTGGGGAGGAGGCGGGGGAGGAGGCAGAGGAAGAGGACGGTGAGGAGGAGGAGGATGAGGAGGAGGAGGAGGAGGAGGAGGAGGAAGAGGAAGAAGAGGCGAAGGAGGAGGAGGTCGAGGAGGAGGAGGAGGATGAGGAGGAGGAGAAGGGTGGAGGAGGAGGAGGAGGAGAAGTCGCCATATGCAGGGACTTCCCCCCCCGCTCCCGGAGGGGTGGCCCGCCAGCCCCCCGCCCGCGGCGGCGACCAGCGCGGCGCCCGGGCTGCGCGCCATGGCGGCCTGGAAGCCCGCGAAGAAGTGCGAGACCAAGATCTACGAGCATACCGGCCCTCGGCCGAGATTTACCGGCCCCATGTGTGGAATGGGGCCGAGGACGCCAACACCGACATCACGGACTATAAATCTCACGTCATGTGCGAGGTGCCGCATCGCATACGCGGCACGAAAAGGGCACGTCGTCTCCGCCAAAGACATCGCCATATTCCTGCCAATGGCACCAGCACCACTACGGCCAACGCACAGACAGACGCCAGCATGAGCAACGCCTTCATGATGAACGTGAACGCCGCCGACTCCGTGCCCACAGCCCACCGCCACTTCCACCAGCACGGCTACGACCAGCAGTGCCACCACCAGCAGTACCACGACTACGCCTACTACTACCACCATGACCAGGACTTCCTCACCCTGCCGCCCATCACCCCGACCAGCCTCAAGCACGGCCACGGCTGGGAGGACGGCCAGGAGAAGGACGAATCGGACGGCCAGGAGGAAGACGACCAGGACGACCAGGAGGACGGCCAAGGACGACTCGGACGACGTGGAGGACAGGGAGATGGAGGAGCACACGAGGGAGGAGGTGACTACGACGGAGGAGCACACGATGAAGGAGGTACGCACGCCAGCAGCGACACCAGCACCGCCCGCAGCATCGATTCCAGCACCGACGCCAGCGCCAACTCCAGCAACGGCGCCAGCATCGAAGACGCAAGCGACTCCAGCACCTGAGCCAGCATCAGCGTCAGCAACAACGTCACCGCCGACGCCAGCATCAGCGCCGGCATCAGCGTCACCACCGACGCCAACATCGACGCCAGCGCTTGCACTGACGCCAGCATCAGTCCCAGCACCAGCGCCTGCATCGAAGACGCTGGCGACTCCAGCACCAGAGCCAGCATCAATGCCAGCGTCAGCATCAACAACGAGGCCGACTACAGCACCGACACCAGCACCGACCTCACCATCGACTCCAGCACCGACGCGAGCATCAACCCCAGAATCAGCGACGGCATCGAAGACACCAGCGACTCCAGCACCGCATCCAGCATCAGCGCCAGCAGCAACGTCGCAACCGACGCCAGCATCAGAGTCAGCCCCAGCGTCACCACCAACGCGCATCGCAGACACTAGCGACTCCAGCAATGGAGCCAGCATTAGTGGCATCATCAGCGTCACCACCAAGGCCAGCATCGACTCCTGCATCGACACTATCACCGCCCCCAATATTGACGCCAACACCAACCCCAGCCCCAGTCCCAGCATCAACGCCGGCATCAGAGACGCCAGCGACTCCAGCATTGGAGCCAGCACCAACATCAGCTTCAGCACTACCACCGACGCCAGCATCGACTCCAGCATCTGCACCATTACTGCCCCCACCATCGACGCCAGCACTGACGCTTGCATCAGCCCTAGCATCAGCGACAGCATCGAGGATGACAGCGACTCCAGCACCGGAGACAACATCAGCGTCAACACCAACGTCGCTACCGACGTCAGCATCGACCTCATCATCCACGCCAGCACTGTACCCACCATCGACGCCAGTCGAGCCAGCACTAGCGTCAGCATCAGCGTCACCACCAAGTCCAGCATCGACTCCACCATCGACACTGGCACCGCCACCACTACTGACGCCAGCACCGACTCCAGCACCAACCCCAGCACCGCCAGCTAAGGCGACAGCGACTCCAGCACCAGAGCCAGCATCAGGGCCCCCACCATCGACGCCACCACCGACGCCAGCATCAGCGTCAGCATCAGCGTCACTACAGACGCCAGCATCGATGCCAGCGCTAGGGGAAAGGTACTCAAACCCTGGAACAGCATACCCGCCCCAGGGTCTGTTGTCCCAGGGTCGGCCACCTGCCGCGGAGGACGACCACAACCATCAGCAGCACCAGAGCACCGACCGGAAGCAGTACCATAGCGTCACCACCGACGCTGACTGCAGCATCGATCCCAGCACCGACACTACCACCGACGCCAGCAGAGAGCCAGCATGAGTCCCCGCATCGGTGCCAACATCGAAGACGCCAGCGGATTCAGCACCGGAGCAAGCATCAGCGTCAGCATCAGCGTCACTACCGACGCCAGCATCGATGCCAGCACCTACGCCAGCATCAGCCCCAGCATCAGCGTCAGCAACCACCGCCGCGACGGAGTCGGGGACGGGAGCCAGGCTCGACCATGGCGGGACCTATTGGGAAAATTGGCGGCCCTGGCAGACGACAACAGCGACGCCTGCAACGACGCCAGCATCGACAGAGGCCAACTGGAGCTCCCGAGACATGCCCGGCGACTACGCATCGTCCCCGCGCCACGTACAGCGGGATTACAAAATGGTCACCCTTCAGGAGCTCGCGGCACTCCAAACTTTTGCAGCCACTCTCGCCCGCCGCGGCCAGACCACTACTATCGACGTGGCCCTGAATTGGGCTGCGCTCGATCCAGAAGCCAAGACCGCCGTAGTACCCGCGGACCCCCTGCGCGCGCTGGCCTCGGGCCCTCGGTGGGCACGTCTCCTGGAGGACCTCGCCAACCCGAAGGAGACCAGCCCCCACTGCTGGGGCTCCCACCATATCCCATTGCAGGTCCGCCGGCCCTGGAAAGTATATAAGCACCTGCTGGCAGCATGAGCGTCACCACCGACGACAGCACCAGCGTCAGCATCTGCATCGCCACCGACGCCAGCATCGACGCCAGCGCACATGCCAGCATCAGCCCCAGCATCAGAGTCAGCATTGAAGACGCCAGCGACTCCTCTAGCGGAGCCAGCATTAACGCCAGCATCAGCGTCACCACCGACGCCAGCACCGACTCCAGCATCGACACCACCTCCGCCCCCACCCTCGACGCTAGCACCGACGCCCGCATCAGCCTCAGCATCAGCGCCAGCATCAGAGACGACAGCGACTCCAGCACCGGAGCCAGCATTAGAGTCAGCACTAACGTTACAATTGACGCCAGCATTGACTCAAGCATCGACACAAGCACCGCCCTCATAATCGACGCCAGCACCGACGAGAGCATCAGCGACAACCGCGCCTGCCTCGCTGAGGCAAGAACCAGCCCCGCCTCCAGCAGCGACGGCCCTGCCCACGCGTACGACCACGACGGCGACAGCCTCCCGATCCTGGCTTCCGAGCCTCGTCGTCTTCCTGGCACGCCGCCCCACGCCCATGCCTGCGCCTGCAGCGACGTCGCCTTCAGGGTCAGCATCACCGTCATCACCGACGCCAGCCTCGACTCCAGCACCGACCCCAGCGTCGTCGCCAACATCGACGCCAGCACCGACGCCAGCAGCAGCCCCACCATCAGCGCCAGCATCGAAGACGCCACCGACTCCAGCACCAGAGCCAGCACCAAGGCTAGCGTCAGCATCACAACCCAGGCCGATTCTAGCACCGATACCAGCGACGTCCTCACCATCGACGCCATCACCGACGCCAGCATCAACTCCAGCTTTAGCGATAGCATCGAAGACGCCAGCGACTCCAGCACTGGAGCCAGCATCGGCGCCAGCACCACCGACGCCAGCATCAGCGTCAGCATCAGCGTGACCACCGACGCCTGCACCTACGCCAGTACTTATGCCACCATCAGACTCAGCATCAGCGCCGGCATCGAGGACACCAGCGACACCAGCAGCGGAGCCAGCGTTACACCACCAAGGCCAGCGTCGACTCCAACATCGACACTGGCACCGCCCCCACTATTGACGCCAACGCCGACCCCAGCACCAGCCCCAGCAGCAGCGCCGGCATCAGAGATGCCAGCGACTCCAGCACCAGAGTCAGCACCAACGTCAGCTTCCGCACCACCACCGACGCCAGCATCGACTCCAGCACCGACACCATTACTGCCCCCACCATCGACGCCAGCACCGACGCTTGCACCAGCCCCGGCATCAGCGACGGTATCGAAGCCGCCAGCAACTCCAGCACCAGAGCCAGTACTAGCGCCAGCATCAGCGCCACCACCGACGCCAGCATCAGCCTCAGTATCAGCGCCATAATCGAAAACGCCAGCGAATTCAGCACCAGAGCCAGCATCAGCGCCAGCACCGACGTCGCCACCGACGCCAGTCTCAGCGTCAGCAACAGCGCCACCACCGACGCCAGCATCGATGCCAGTGCTAGGGGAAAGGGACTCAGACCCTGGAACAGCTAACCCGCCCCAGGGTCCGTTGTCCCAGGGTCGGCTACCAGCCGCGGAGGACGACCACGACCAGCAGCAGCCCCAGAGTACCGGCCGGAAGCAGTACCATAGCGTCATCCTACGCTGACTCCAGCATCGATCCCAGCACCGCCACTACCTCCGACGCCAGCAGAGAGCCAACATCAGTCCCCGCATCGGTGCCAGCATCGAAGACGCCAGCGGATTCAGCACCAGAGCAAACATCAGCGTCAGCATCTGCGTCACCACCGACGCCAGCACCGACCCCAGCATCCTCACCATCGATGCCAGCACCGACGCCAGCATTAATTCCAGCAGCAACGACAGCATCAAAGACGAGCCAGAATCAGCGTCAGCACCAACGTCACCACCGATGCCAGCATCAGCGTCAGCATCAGCATCACCACCGACGCCAGCTCCAACGCCATCACCCATGCCAGCAGTAGAACCAGCATGAGCGACGGCATCGAAGACGCCAGCGAATCCAG